AAGAAGAGTTCAAAGTCCTGGAAGTCACTTCCTGCAATGGAGGATATTGAAGTGATCCCTCCAGAACTCTCTTAGGGTCAATTCAGTGTCCAAGGTCACTTCAAAGCACTTTGAAACATTGCTTTGGTGTAGTTTTTTTTGAAGTTAGAAATGACCTGCTGGTCCATGGGCTGGCTGAGAGGAGTGGTGTTAAAAGGCAAGAACTTCAATGTTATAAAACTGAAGTCCCTAAACAATTGGTCTTCTTAGCAAGTTCGGTATTTTTCGTATTTTTCTACAATCACTTTCTTGAATTCTATCATGTTTCCCACTTTCTTTACCAAAGGGTTGATACTAGGAACTTTCTTTTGGGCCCATGGTGGCTTATTTCGCAGTAACAATCAAGGACAAAAACTGTGAAATGTTTCAGACGAATGCTCACTCAACCAGTGACAAAGCCAGACTGACAGTGTTCCTGGGTGAGCAGACGCGTTGTGGGGAATGAGGCTTCTAGCAGTGAGGTGGAGTCTGTCTCTCGCTGTGAGGAGGCTGTAGTGGGAGAGGTAGCAACGGCTACCAACAGTGAGGTGCAGCCTAGCACCTGCTACTAGTGGCGAGTGGTTCAGAGTAATGGGAGGCGCATCAGAGTAAGGAAAGTTAAGAGTGAAGATCTGAAGGTAGGAAATCGCTTCTCTGTTCTTCAGGATGAATGTACTTCAGTGGCCAGTGAAGGTGAGGGTACTACTGCCCCTGCTAATGGAGGTAAGCGCATTCTTGTGGTTGGTGACTCTCAGGTAAGATATATTGACCGTGCTTTTTGTAATAGGAATAAGAAGATGAGAGATAGAGTGTGCTTCCCTGGAGCTGGTGTTGGGGACATTGTCAACAGGCTGGATAATATCATGTCAGGTAATGGGAACAAGCCCATTATCTGTCTCAGTGCTGGTGGAAATGATATGGGAAGGGTAGGAGAGAAGAGCTGCTAGATAAGTACAGGTCAGCTATAGATTTCATTAAGTCTAAGGGAGGGATCCCAATCATATGTAGCATCTTGCCTAGAAGGGGAGTAGGAAATGAATGGTTGTCTAGGGCAATTGGTGTAAATTGCTGGCTAGACAGATACTGCAAGGAACTTGCAATCCCATTCATTGACAACTGGAACAACTTTTATGGCAAACATGATATGTATGCAAGGGATGGGGTACATCTCTCTGGGGCAGGGGTGGTAGCACTTGCAGACTCGATTGAGAAGGCCATTGGTGAAATGCCTATGATTTTAAACTGATGGAAGATAGAGGTATGGGTGTGTGTGGGAAACAAGCAGGTTGCAACACTAAGGTTGGAAACAGTAAATGTATAAAAGGCATTTAGCATGAAGTTATAAATAAAGACAATAGATCAGGTCAGCAAACAAAGGGGACAGCAGAGGGCAGCAAGGGACTAGCTCCCTTAAGGTTTACTATACTAATAGCAGGAGTGTAAGAAATAAGATAGATGAGCTAAGATTAATTGCAAGTGCAGGAAACATAGATATTATTGCTATAACAGAGACCTGGCTCAATCTGAAAGATAGAGAGATGCCCTCTGAATGTCACATGCAAGGCTATAAATTATTCCCACTGACAGGGTCAACAGGAAAGGTGGTGGAGTAGCGATGTATGTCAGAGACAATTTAAATTGTTGTGTTAGACAAGATATTAAATTAGAAGCGTCAGCCACTGAATCTGTTTGGTTACAGCTTCTCGAGGGCCGAGAAAAACTAATTTTGGGTGTGATTTACAGGGCCCCAAATCTTGATAGGGAGTGCAGTAAACTTCTATGGGACGAAATTTGTAAGGCATCTACATACGAAAATGTTGTGCTAATGGGAATTTGAACTATAGACAGATTGACTGGAGCAATTTGACAGGAAATTTAGAGTCAGGTGACTTTCTTGATACGATCCAGGATTGTTTTTTAAAACAGTTTGTGACAGAGCCAACTAGGGGAAATAACCTCCTTGACTTGGTTCTTGCCAGTAGGGAAACACTAATTAATAATCTTGAGGTTAATGATGAGCTTGGGGAAAGTGATCACAAATCACTCAGTTTTAATATATCATGGAATTCCCCTAATAATGGCAATCAAGTCTCTGTCCCTGACTTTCGCTTGGCTGATTTCATAGGACTGAAAAATTACTTAGGTGGGCTGAACTGGAATGACCTGACTAAGGGTCAGGTAGGTGGTGATGGTTGCCGTAATGATGCTTTCCAGGGCATAGTTCTAGCTGCTCAGTCAAATTATGTTCCAAATAAGGAAATCAGATCAAACAAAAATGATCCTAAATGGATGAACAATAGATTAAAATATCTGATTGGTCAAAAGAGAGGCATATATAGGAAAATAAAAAGAGGAGGGGGGAAATTTTAAAAAATGATATATTCAGTTAAAGAGAAAAAAAAAAAAGGGAATTAGAAAAGCAAAAAGAGATTATGGGGGTTTAAAGTTGCAAAGAATCGAAACTACCCCAAAAGGAAATTCTTTCAGGTATACAAAGTAAGATCGGGGAAAAAAAGATGGGCCCCCACCCCCAAAAGTTCCTGGGCAGCTAAATTGACAGGGGATAAGGAAATGTGTAAAATTTTTAACACAACTTCCCCCTCAGTTTTTACACGGGAGGATACCAGCGATTTTCCCCAGTAAGAAAAAAATTATTAAACAGGACTTTTAAAAAAACTTGGCACAAATTAGAGTCAAATGCAGGTCCCTTAGGCAAAAAAGGGAATTTTAAAGGGAGTTGAACCCCTTTTGGGCTAATCTTTTAAACATATCCCCTACAACCTGGCATGGGCCAGAAAAGGGGAAAAATTTGGAAAATTTTGGGGTTTGCCTTTTTTAAAAAGGGGGGGGTAAAACGGGTTCCTTTTAGTTTCAAAAACTATAGACCAATAAGCCAAACCCTTTCCATAGGGGGAAAAAATTTTTGGAATAAATTTAATTCCCGAGGCAGTTCGTAGCCCCCTTTGAAAAAGCATAAATTAATCAACGAATCTCAGCATGGTTTTAAAAGGGGGGTTTTTCCCCTCCCTTTAACGAATTTATTAATTTTTTTTTCCACTAAGGTTTTTTGAGGAGGAAATTTAGGGTTAAGAATATGATATTTTTTTCCCCTGGGGAAGTGGAAACAGAAAATTTTTCCTCCTAAGCCCCCTGGTTTTTTGTAAGAGGGACTAAAAAAGCCGGGGCAAGGGGCTAGAAAAACCCCCCCTCCCGAAAAAATTACTAAATTTTTAAAAGAAACTTTTTGTTTTTCTTTTTTGGGCCACCCCTGCCTTTGGGGGGATAAAAGCCGGGGGTGTTTTAAAAAAGAAAGAAAATGATATTGTGTATATGGCCCTTTAGTAAAGGGTTTTGGGCAGGGTCCCACATCAAGACTATTGAGGAAAAATTTAAAACACATGGAAAGGAGGAGAAATTTTTCCTGGGTAGAGGGGATGGTTGCCCAAAAAGGCCGGGAAGAAGGTTTTCATAAATTTTGGGGGGGAAAATTTAAATGGGGAAGGGTCACGAGCGGTGTTCCACAGGGGTCGGTGTTGGGCCCCCTGCTTCACAATCTACATAAAAGACATAGATGAGGGCATTTTTAAAAGCGGGCATCGGGGAAATTTGCCCCATGGGCCCCCAAAATAGGGCCCTCCCAATTCATTCTGACGAGGGCATTCGAGCACTCCAGGAAAATTTTTAATAGGGCTGATTTCAGTGGGCGGAGAAGTGGCAGTGCAGTTTAATATAGACAAATGGCAAAAATTCTAAATGTTGGGGCAGGACAACAACCATGCCACAAAAAACAAAAAAATGTAGATCTTTAAAATTAGGATTGCGAAAAAGATTTTTGGAAATTCTGGTTTTGCTTTAAACTGAAACCAAAAACAAGTGCATAAAATGTTCGCAAAAAACTAAAAGAAAACCCTTTGGGTTTTATATCAAAATCATAAAATTTAAAGGGGTCCTCAGGTTGTTCTTCAAATTATACATCCCCTTTGGGTTTGGGCCCCATTTGATTTGCTGCACAGTTTTGGTCACCGATTACAGAAAGGATATAAATTCTCTGGAAAATGTAAAAGAGGAGGATGACAAATGAAAACCCATTTTTTCAAAACCTTTTCCCCATGAGGAATTTGACTAAGGGCCCTGAATCTGCAAATCTCTAGAAAAGACGTTTGAATTTGGGTGGTATGTTGAGGGTAAAAAATGGAAGACAGGAAAAAAATAAAGGGGGTGTAAATTGTGTTTCTGAAAATAAACTAGGGCCCAGATAGGAATCGCCCGCAAAGGTTTTAAATTGGAAAAAATTTAGATTCAGGAAGGATATAGGAAAGTACGGTTTTGGGAAAAAGGGGGGGGGATGAGTTAACAAAAATCCCGAGTACCATTATGGGGCCAGAAAAGTTGGGGTAGCTTTTTTAAAAAAAAGGGTTTGGGTAAAAACATGGTGGATGTGGGTGGGTGTGAGTTGGACCTGATAGCTTGTGCTACCAGGTCGGTTGCCGTGTTCCTCCCTTAAGTCAGTGTGACCTGACCTGACTAGGTTGGGTGCATTGGCTTAAGCCGGTAGGAGACTTGGACCTGCCTCACATGGGCCAGTAGGCCTTCTGCAGTGTTCCTTCGTTCTTATGTTCTTATGTCTGATACATATGATTCCCAGGACGAGGTACAAAATCCAGAGTAAAATTTCGCCCAAAAAAATGTTCTAAACCCAAAATGTCCAATATCTGGTGCATGCGAAATCCGGGGTTCCACTGTACTGTATGACTTTTTTTTTTCTAAGAGACTGAGGCAACATAACATGCAGCCAAGCATTATCTAGAACTTGACCAACTATCATAAATTGTCTAACCATATACATTTACCCACTAAAACTTCAGCCTTCTCCAAATTTTTTCAAGAACTTTTCCTACTCAATAAGATTACTTTTAATCTCAAAAAGGCAGAGTAAACTTGAACACAAACCTCTTGGTAACTGGCATTATTATTGTTCACAAAGGGCAATGAAAGCATTACATAATGTACAGCACTTTACAAATTTTCTTCAGCACACTATTGAACATATACATCACAGAATAATTTGCACTATATGAAATCGAGTTATGTTTATGAAAAGAAAACAAGAAATTAAAAGCACGTGTGGAGGTTGTGCTTACATCATCAGGAGTGGTGAGATCATACGTCTTCAGTGAAATTATGTCGTGTGCATCACTGAGGTCACCCGTAGCAGCAGACACACCAAAATAATAGCCCAATGGCAGCTTGACCCCATCCACCGAAAAACATTCCTTGAACACTTGTTTGTTATCAATATCGGTTGACACTGAAAGATTAAATATTCTATAATAAATTTAGCCCAAGTTTTTAAACAAGTTGAGTAATTATTTAACATTCTTTCAAAATAACATTAAAAAAATGCCCAAAAGCTTCCTCTAAAGGGGACACTATTAAAGATCTTGGACTGATCACAAGGCAAATTAAACATTTAAAATGAAATAAAAAAGCAATAACAAGAACACATTTTTGAAACCGGTAAATATGAAAGCAGAAAAAAATAAAATGTGTTGTTTCCCCACCTGTTAGTGTGTCATGGACGTACTTGACAGAAATATATGTATCATGCTCCAGATTCCTGAACTTGGCAACACAGCCTGATGACAGCTGAGTGTGAGTTCCATCACGGTCATGGTCATAGTGGAGTGTGCCATTGTTGATCATAGCAGAGATGTAGGGATGACCATGCTATTTGTAGGAAAAACATCAGCAATGTAACTTACATTACAAATACAATATTAAAAGTTCAGAGATCTTTACCATGGATTATCAGAATTTATAATGAAGATACAAAGCTACAGTAGACTACCACACACTGCACCTCCACCTACTGTGTTTCTGCCTGTTGGCAATTCATTTTTTGTATCTTGATAGTTACACTGTCCTTTCAAAACTAATTTTAATTTTATACTGAATTTTTGTATAAACGAAAGAGTGAGCAGGTTACTTTTTCTGTTTGCTTTAGTCAGTGGGTAGAGGAATTCTGGATTATATTAGAAGTTGTAATAACATTTTGTACAGTTCATCGTATGAAAGTTTAAAAGATCTTACCAGCATATGAAGTGCTGTTCCTTTTATAACTATACTGATTAATCATCATTTTCAAAGCTAATGTTTTCTGTAGTCAATGAAAGGAGCCTTGGTTTATTCCCTCCTCAAGAAGCCTTCCTTGGATTCAGAAAACACATCAGACTATTGTCCTGTTTCAAATCTTACATTCCTTTCTAAATTTGTTGAATGTGCTATTCTTGATCAATTGTTTCCATTTCTGGAGTAATATTTTTACTGTGTTCAGACTACATGTAGCCCATTTTATTTAACTGAAACAGTGCAAAAAATATCTAACCAAAACAGGACTTGCAGCAACAGATTCAAGTTGGATAAATTTAGATTTAGAAAAGATACACAAAAGCAATATTTTGGTAACAAGAGTTCTTGATGAATGGAACAAACTCCTGAGTTGCATCACTGAAGCAAAAACGTTAGGTAGCTTTAAAAATAGGTTAGACAATACACAAGTGAGTGTGGGTGGGTGCGAGTTGGACCTGCCTAGCATGGGCCAGTAGGCCTGCTGCAGTGCTCCTCCTTTCTCATATTCTTGCAAGATACTGCTTTGTCATTTCTTAAACTGAATCTTTATGATCAGTCTTATCAAGTGGTAGTCAATGATTCCATATCCAAGCCATCTCTTCTGCCCCATCACATTCCTCAGAGCTGGAAAAATAAACACATAAGGAGTATAATGTGATCCTTTACTGACAACATTTTGCCTGCACAGTGGGCTTTATCAAGTCACAAACGAGTCTACCAGGGTGAAAGGTACAGAAGTATTTATAGGATGGCGACAGGTGGAGAATGTTGGATAGGTTGGATCTGATGAGGACCTGCATGGGACTGGCGGTTGCGAATGTAGTTATGCGGGATAACGACGAAGTTTCTTGGCAAGGGGTTCAGCTATGTTTTAGAAGCCGCTGTTTTGGTTGAAGTTGTTGGATATACAAACAAAGTGAGGATTCCAGGATTCTGCAGTATTGAGTGTTTTCTTCTCTGGAGATAAGTCTTGAGTTTCTGTAGTTGATTAAATGGTTGTGTGAATTTTAGTGTTGAACACAGGCATCCCTTAAATCATTCGATCTGCCTGCGAAATGGTGTTCTGAAAACACGTTTGGAGGTCTCTAGATGTTTCGCCCACTTATAATTTGCTGTAGTCATTACAGGGGATTATGTATACCCCTGCAGAGGATTGAAGCTTGTCCTGTCTATTACTGGTAATGCCCTTGATGGTGGTAGACATTACCAGTAATAGACAGGACAAGCTTCCATCCTCTGCAGCAGTATACATAATCCCTTGTAATGACTGCAGTAAATTATATGTGGATGAAGCATCCAGAGACCTCCAAACACATATTTCAGAACACCAGTATGCAGGCAGATCGGACAATTTAAGGGATGCCTGTGTTCTACACCGAAATTCACACAACCATTTGATCAACTACAGAAATGCAAGACTTATTGCTAGAGAAGAAAACACTCAATACAGCATAATCCTGGAATTTTCACTTTATCTGTATATCCAATAACTTCAACCAAAACAACGGCTTCTATAACATAGCTGAACCCCTTGCCAAGAAACCTCATCGTTATCCCACATAACTTTCGCACCTGCCAGTCCCGTGCAGATCCTCATCAGATCCAACCTACCCAGCATTCTCCACCTAACTATCCTATAAATACTCACATACCTTTCACCCAGGTAGATCTGTTTGTAACTTGATAAAGCCCACTATGTGGGCAAAATGTTGCCAATAAAGGATCACATTATACTGCTTATGTGTTTATTTTTCCATTGTGTCAGTATTTTATACCATTTATTTCCATTCCTCAGGGCTCTGTTCTTAGGTCAATATTGACTGTTTATATTAGTGGCTTAGGCTCAATGTTGTATGCCCATGGGGTTGATTATCATTTTAATGCTGATGATACACATGTCTGCATCTGGGTTTTTGAACATGGAAGATGCAAAACTGTTCTGCTTGATGTCTGGACTTAGATGACAAATAGAAAATTGAAATTAAACAATGGTAAGACAGATTTTTATTATCAGGGGGAAACATAACTCCCAGAAGCTACAACATACTTTGCTCAGTGGTGATATGTACTTTGCTCTGTGAAGATTTGTCTAGTGTGTTCTCCGTTCTTAGCTACCTGAGATTGTGATGATGGCTTCCCTTGACTACAAGCAGCTATATCTCCAGCTTAACCCTTTGTTATCAACAAATTTTGTTGAAAATAAGAAAAAGTTTTGGAGTGAGATTAACAAGTTAAGGAAGCCTAGAGAACAAATGGATTTGTCAGTTAAATATAGGAGAGGAGAGTTATTAAATGGAGAGTTAGAGGTATTGGGAAGATGGAGGGAATATTTTGAGGAATTGTTAAATGTTGATGAAGATAGGGAAGCTGTGATTTCGTGTATAGGGCAAGGAGGAATAACATCTTGCAGGAGTGAGGAAGAGCCAGTTGTGAGTGTGGAGGAAGTTCGTGAGGCAGTAGGTAAAATGAAAGGGGGTAAGGCAGCCGGGATTGATAGGATAAAGATAGAAATGTTAAAAGCAGGTGGGGATATAGTTTTGGAGTGTTGGTGCAATTATTTAATAAATGTATGGAAGAGGGTAAGGTACCTAGGGATTGGCAGAGAGCATGCATAGTTCCTTTGTATAAAGGCAAAGGGGATAAAAGAGAGTGCAAAAATTATAGGGGGATAAGTCTGTTGAGTATACCTGGTAAAGTGTATGGTAGAGTTATTATTGAAAGAATTAAGAGTAAGATGGAGAATAGGATAGCAGATGAACAAGGAGGCTTTAGGAAAGGTAGGGGGTGTGTGGACCAGGTGTTTACAGTGAAACATAAGTGAACAGTATTTAGATAAGGCTAAAGAGTCTTTGTGGCATTTATGGATTTGGAAAAGGCGTATGTCAGGGTGGATAGGGGGGCAATGTGGCAGATGTTGCAGGTGTATGGTGTAGGAGGTAGGCTACTGAAAGCAGTGAAGAGTTTTTACGAGGATAGCGAGGCTCAATTTAGAGTATGTAGGAAAGAGGGAAATTATTTCCCAGTAAAAGTAGGCCTTAGACAAGGATGTGTGATGTCACCGTGGTTGTTTAATATATTTATAGATGGGGTTGTAAGAGAAGTGAATGCGAGGGTCTTGGCAAGAGGCGTGGAGTTAAAAGATAAAGAATCACACACAAAGTGGGAGTTGTCACAGTTGCTCTTTGCTGATGACACTTTGCTCTTGGGAGATTCTGAAGAGAAGTTGCAGAGATTGGTGGATGAATTTGGTAGGGTGTGCAAAAGAAGAAAATTAAAGGTGAATACAGGAAAGAGTAAGGTTATGAGGATAACAAAAAGATTAGGTGATGAAAGATTGGATATCAGATTGGAGGGAGAGAGTATGGAGGAGGTGAATGTATTCAGATATCTGGGAGTGGACGTGTCAGCGGATGAGTCTATGAAAGATGAAGTGAATCATAGAATTGATGAGGGGAAAAGGGTGAGTGGTGCACTTAGGAGTCTGTGGAGACAAAGAACTTTGTCCTTGGAGGCAAAGAGGGGAATGTATGAGAGTATAGTTTTACCAACGCTCTTATATGGGTGTGAAGCATGGGTGATGAATGTTGCAGCGAGGAGAAGGCTGGAGGCAGTGGAGATGTCATGTCTGAGGGCAATGTGTGGTGTGAATATAATGCAGAGAATTCGTAGTTTGGAAGTTAGGAGGAGGTGCGGGATTACCACAACTGTTGTCCAGAGGGCTGAGGAAGGTTGTTGAGGTGGTTCGGACATGTAGAGAGAATGGAGCGAAACAGAATGACTTCAAGAGTGTATCAGTCTGTAGTGGAAGGAAGGCGGGGTAGGGGGTCGGCCTAGGAAAGGTTGGAGGGAGGGGGTAAAGGAGGTTTTGTGTGCGAGGGGCTTGGACTTCCAGCAGGCATGCGTGAGCATGTTTGATAGGAGTGAATGGAGACAAATGGTTTTTAATACTTGACGTGCTGTTGGAGTGTGAGCAAAGTAACATTTATGAAGGGGTTCAGGGAAATCGGCAGGCCGGACTTGAGTCCTGGAGATGGGAAGTACAGTGCCTGCACTCTGAAGGAGGGGTGTAAATGTTGCAGTTTAAAAACTGTAGTGTAAAGCACCCTTCTGGCAAGACAGTGATGGAGTGAATGATGGTGAAAGTTTTTCTTTTTCGGGTCACCCTGCCTTGGTGGGAATCGGCCAGTGTGATAATAAAAAAATAAAAATATCTTATGAGCCACTGTGTTTGACGTATTAATATGCATACATTCTAGCGGCTTCAAATCAAGCGGGAGAAAGCTGGTATGCCTACATGTTGTGAGAGAATGGGTCTGCGTGGTGGATGTGCACCCTGTGAAAAAAATCAGGGACTCAGTGGTGCATTGTGGGAATGTCATCTTGGTAGTCCAGTTTCACCATGCCTTGCGGTAAGAAGTACCACACTCCTTGGCGGATTGGAGGTCTTTTGTTCCCAAGTGATAGCTCTAACAGCAATGGAAGTGCCAGTGAAAGTGAATTTCAAGGTTTTGGAGAGGGTGTGACCAAAAGCAGTGCCCAGGATAATGTAATTAGTGATGAAAATTCAGATTACCCACAACCTTCCACCTCTGGTGCTG